TACTAGGACTGTTACTGGGTGGGGCCAGTACCCAAATTATGGGCCGCTGTGTGCCCTCACCACCTTCGCTTTTCGACTGGAACCCAGAGTTTGAGCAACGTCCCTATTCGTACTTCCATGTGAGCCATAGTCTAAACTCCTTAAAGGGGGGTTATATAGGGGATTATATAAGGGATTACTATAGGGATATTAAGGGGGATACTAGGAGTTTAGACTATGGCTCATGTGTTTATTTTTAACTTCAACGAGGAGTGCCTTTGGATGCGAAAGGCTGATACCCTACAGGCGCTAAAGTGCTGACCCTCGATCCTCAAGCCCTCAGATACAGCCCCATGCCCTAAACCCTAAACTAAACCCTATCCTACAGCCCTAACGTAGCTGAGGCCGGGATGAAGAAGAGTGGCGCCAAGGCCGATCTGCAGCAACCTTGCCATGGCTTTTGGAAATTCCACTACCAGGACTCTCCTAGGCTTTAGGGTTTAGGGCTTAGGGTTCGGGTTTAGGGTTTGGAGTTCAAGGCTTCGGGATTATAGGGTTTAAGGTATAGGGATTTAGGGTTTAGGGTATAGGGCTTAGGATTTAGGGTTTGGGGTTTGGGTGTAGACTTTAGGGTTTAGGGCTTAGTAGAGACCCACAGGTGGAGGCCTCCTTATACCCATAAAAAGGGGTATATGGTCCCTAGTCTAAACTCCTTAAATGGGGTTATATGTGGGATTATATAGGGGACTATTATCGGGGTTATTAAGGGGGAAACTTGGAGTTTAGACTAATTATAGCTCACATGCTCCCTCATAGTGGGGCCTGAGGGTATATAGACGGTAGATGGAGGGCCTAGGTAAAGCCACGGATTTGTCTTAGATCAATAGCGGCGGCTGTATCTGTAGCCTCCTTAGGAGTTATATTTCTTGTTTACATTTTTTTTACTTTAGTTCAACTTGAAAGAAATATTGAAATTACTGTTTTCAATATAGGTCTAGGGGGAGTACAGTTATTTGGAAGTTTTAGGGAGCATCCAAATAGATGCCAGCACCACATAGACGATGTCGGACTTTCTCAACGTCATCTCAAGATAGTCCCCTATATTCCCCATTGAATGGTCATGTATTTGCCTAAGGGTCCTGATCTTGAGAATCCTATAACCCTATAAACCTTAAACCCTAAACCCTAGGATTAGCTGTCTTTGGTTTGAAGGGGGCCTTATTTGCGTGGAATTCAACCGTTTTTTGGAGGGCTCTAGAGCAGATATAGACCTAGTCCTCAAAATCCTAAACCTTATACACCCCAAACCCTAGACGAAATAGGGGTTCTTCGGAAAGATCCGCGCTGCTATTGCTGCATGCGCACACACTTTGCTAAGTGCGGTACAGTGCCCCGGGTGAACCCTACACCCAGTGCCCTACAACCTGAACCTGTAGAAACCAGTGGGCCTTGCTGTAGGTGGACGAGATCACTGCGGGTGCTTGCGTCAGCTGCTGCGAAAAGGCATTTGGCAACAGAGCTGGAGTAGCCAGGGGGTGAAGTTTAGGGTTTACGTTAGCCCCTGAAGTTTATCCGAGCCAAAGAGTAGAGTTACCACTTTTGCAATAAGGGAGACTCAAATGATTAGAAGATAAGAGAACCCTGAACCTGATACCCTAAGCGGAGGTGAGTAACGTTTGAACAGAGTTGTTATGCATGCAGCCTCGAGATGACGATGACGACCAGCTATCTAGGTCTCCAGACGAATGAGGTTCAGATTTTGGTAATATTGGGGTTATACCGGGGTTTTATAGGGATAATGGAGAAGAAAATGGAAACTTCTGTATATATGTATATATATATATATTTTTTGGGATGTAGGGTTTAGGGGTTCTATGTAGAGCTTCCCCCAAAGTACCAAACTGTTGGAGAGTCAAATGCAAAAGAAAATGGGTGACTCGTGTGGTTGAGCGCAAGAATTGTCCCACATTGCGGATGCTAGGAGATCTACCCAGCTCATTAAAGTTAAGGCTTAGGATAAGGGCGGGCATTTCAAAAGACTTGTAATGGGTGATTGCCCCTTGGTAGCCCATCCACGAAGACCACAGAATCCTAAACCATGGAGCAGACGTGACCCAAGAGACGCCCCTGGACCTCAAACCGCCGTCGTAGAAGTCACCGAATTGGCATTCTGAAGTCAAAAGGGATACTATAGGGGTTATACAGGGATATTGTAGAGATATGGGGACATTATCGGGGTTAAAAAGGGATATTTTAAACGTACGCACTATTTCCATTTCAGCCGTAAAGCAGCTTAGCCGCTTGCAGTACCTTCAGTATGGCATCCTTGGTCTTCATTCTTCTGGCTAACCCTCAAGACATGCAAGCCTTAAGCAATTTTGGCAGTTCCGAAGAGACAGAAGGGTTTAGAGTTTAGAGTTTCCTTGCATCGGCAGGCTGCGCAATGGCGCTGGGCATATTCGTCGTGTGAATCTGAGTCTGCTGGGGGTGTTGGCTGCTGCATTCTTACTTTGGTCTTGGGATGGCTTCTCTCCCGGTCGGGATCTTGTAAAGGGGGATATAGGGGACATTGGGATATTCTAGGGATACTATAGAGGTTATACAGGGATATTGTAAAGATACTATGTGCATATGATAGAGGTTATATAGGAATATTGTAGGGACATATAGGGTTCAGGGATTCTAGGGTCTGTTCGGGGACTTCTCCCTGAACCTGTGAACATCCTGCAAGCATACTCGATTTGAACCCTCTTGGGCTTCAAAGTCCCCTGGGACCCTAAGCCCCAAAATCCCAAAGTGAATCGATATTCAGTTCCCTCCAACCAAGTTATGATTCTGCTGTAGTATACTACCCGTAATCTATGATCCAGTGCATTTTTCTCCGATGCGTTTCGGATTATTCTCAGGCTCCGATCACTTTCAAACGGAACTGTCCGCCCATCGATGACTTCCTTCAATGCCGCCGCAGTGTGCTCGGTGCCCTTTTTTGCCTGCTGAGCTCTACCTGAACCCCAAAAGTATGTAAAATAATGGCCCTAGACCCATAATAATAGCCATAAGGGCCATTATTTTACATACTTTTGACCTAAACCCTAAACCCTAAACCCTATATAACCCCCAATATAGTAAGTTCCCATATTCCCTCCCCCCCATTTGGGGTCCAGGTAGATAGAATATGCTGTGTCAATCGACAGTAAACCTTGGCAGGGACCCTAAACCTCAAACCCGTTTCGACAACACATGAGCTATAGTCTACACTCCTTAATTGGGGGGTTCAAAAGGGTCCTTAAAGGGGTTCTATAGGGTCCTTAAAGGGGTTCTACAGGGGATGATATAGGGTTTAGGGTTTAGGGATTATAGTCTAAACTCCTTAATTGGGGTTATATAGGGGAATATATAGGGGAGTATCATGGGGGATATTAAGGGGGATACTAGGAGTTTGGACTATAGCTCACATGGACTTGGCACAAGACACTTACGTAACCAAAGCCAAGGTCAAGCAGGATTCTTGCCGACAGTTTAGCTGTTTAGACGCTGTCTGGGGTTTAGGAAGGGTACTCTGAGACAATTTTGCAAGTTGTCTGAGTGGATTAGGGCTACTTTTTTGTGGTTCCCTAGAAAAAGGCGTATATATATTCGGGTTCCTGGTTATAGCCGGACGGTGGATTCCAAGCTGACCAACGTAAGCGCTGCTAATCGGAGGCCCCGTAACGTCCTGATGCATAGCAAGGGAAGCGGGCGGAATTTGGCTAACTGCAAAGGGTGATGTATGAAAAGATTATAGAGTGAGACCTGGCCCGACCATGAACAAAGCTACTCAGTTCGTTCCTGCAAAGAGCATGCTGACACGTCCCTTGACTGGGCCAAAGTGCGATACCCACGACTGCAGAACAAGTTTATCAGCTTAACCTGAGCAGTACGACTGCTTGTACAATGTTCATTGTTTGATCATGCAACATGAATGCACTAAGGCTTGCAACTTCATGTGGCCGCGTCATCCAACCAAGTATCAACATAGGAAGACTTACGCCCCAAAGTATTTATGTAGGAATGCATTCCGGCCCACATTTCCTAGACCATCCATCCCTATATATAGTACATACCTTAAGATACATACCTTAACACCCACTATCAAGGACCCATACCCTCATTTGAAGGTACAAGGAGGGTCCTGGTACAGACCCTTCAGATATTGGACCCTCATGTGGCCTTGCAGTAAACCAACTCGAGGTCCCCTCAAACACCTTGCGGGGGGACTTAGTCATACTGGAAAAGAAAATGCAAGCTACTGTATTACTTCGGGTTTAAGGTTTAGGGTCAGGGGGACTTAGTAATCATAATGCTCAGAAGGCTCATTTTGTGAGATAAAGGAAGGTGGGGACCCCGAATATTCTAGACTCTGCAATGATTAGGGGCCGTTTAACCCACGTACCTTTTGGGCCACCTGAAGCCCTAAAACCCCTACACCCCTAAACCCTAAATACCCTAAACACATAAACCCTAAACCCCTAAACCCTAAACCCTGCCAAAAGACTAAGCCCCTCCTGCCTCGTCTTTTGGCCCTAAACCCTAAACCCTAGACCCTAAACCCCTAAACCCCTAAACCCGAAACCCCTAAACCCTAAACCCTCAACCCTAAACGGCTTTTGGGTTTCAAGCCATCCTCGCTCTCTACAGCCCTCCACACCCTTCGCGCACCTTGCAGCTATGGCCCTGCCCATGAAGAAGCATGGAAGCATTTGGACCTACTACCATTCTTAATGGGTTTTATAGGGGTTTAGGGTTTAGGGTGGATATACTACCATTCTTAATGGGTTTTATAAGGGGTATCTAGGGATATATAGGGTTTAGGGTTCAGGGATTAGGGTTTAGAGTTTCTCAAAAGTAGGGGTACGCATTTTAGGGGTCCCCATTTTGAGGATTCTAGCCTTGGGATCTATATTGGCTTCTTCCTAGTTTGGGGAAATTACCATTTCTTACCGCGGGGAGTGGAGGATGGATCCTAGAATAGTCCCCTGGAGTCCCTATGGTAGTCTCTATACCCTAATCCTTGGTGTGAATCTGTAGACGAAGGGTTTTTTTCGGTCTAGGGGCAATGGCTTGCCGTGCCTTCCAGCATGGTTTGGAGGTTCGGGGTAAGGGGTCTAGGGTTGGGGAGGTGTTTACCCAAATGTTCCTCTGCGCAAGTTTGTGTTGGATCCGTTCTGCTGCTTGGTAAGGTATACTGGTCTACCAGGTGATTAAAAATGTTTGACTATGAGCCCCCTAGAAAGAAGCTAGGACGAGCAGTTAGGTAGGTAGGCAAGTGATAGAATAAATGAGCTTATTCTAGGGATCACGGAAGACTGGCCTGGTATGTACATGTAGATGCAAAGGCTGGCAAGAACCCTGCGACCTTGTAATTGCTTGTCACGAAGCCGGCAATTCTAAGCAACAAGCTTGCTTGGACGGTGCACCATCAGCCAAGGAACACAGCCATGAAGAAGGCCATGAAAACCACGGCTATGAAGGCCATGAAAGCTATCAAAGCCATGAAGGCCAGTGCTTTGCTATTGCAATGAGTCCTGCTGACTGCGATTGCTTTATCACATGTTGACGTTTCGTGCTTCTACAATACCCTAGGGATCCATGTATGTAAATAATACCTACATTGGGCCCCACAGTCTGTAAATATTTTCTACATTGGGCTATTTGGATCCCGGTGGACTTGAAGCATCACATCAGGTCACTCCTTGCTCCTTCTCCTCGTATGGAGCACGGTCCCAGCTCCCACCATAAGTTATTGGGTTTAGGGTTTAGGGTTTAGGGTTAGGGTTTCAGTTCCCACAGGATCACTGATATATCATATACTGCAAGACAAACTGTGATTCAGGATGTGAGGCGATGTGGTGCGGGAAGGGGAGTGGTTGAGACAGCAGCTACATGAGCCATAATCCAAGTTCCTAAAAAAGGGATTAGCAAAGGAATTATATGGGGCAGTAGTATAGAAGTTATTAAGGAGGGGGGGATACTAGGAGTTTGGACCCTAGCTTACATGACAGTCTGCAGAGCTTGTCGGGAAGGCTTCGCACTAGGTCGGACGAAAGATCTTCAGTGGAATGCAGTAGAGGGTCACAGTATGTCGCAGCACTAAGCGCCTAAGCCGTGTCTGGTTGCGGTACCTCTCAAAGTTTACCCCATCAGGTCATGAAGAACTTGTGCCACTAACCCGTGTCAGGTTGTGGTACTTTTCAAATTTCTACCCCATCAGGTGATGAAGAAGAAGACAGTGTCCAAGATTGCACGTGGCAAGCTCGCGAAGAGCGCGGTGTTCAAGGGCAAGAAGGACAGCGGGAACAGACGAGAGAGGAGAGATCCTGCCATTTGGACTAGCCCTAAACCCTGAACTCTAAACCCTGAACCCAACAGCCTGAGCCCTAAACCTTTAGACCATCATGCTGGTGCGGATCATCTCGCTACACCATGATCGTGATGTCTACTTGATTTTTAGAAAAGCTGCCTGGGATCCCGAATCAAGGCTGTGCGTTCTTAGACCGCACACGGCAATATGCTGCTTCACCGTAACACGTTCCATTGTTAAATCTGCTCGTTCTGGGGAGGAGAAGACTTCCACAGGCCTCAAGAAGTCGGACCTGATGAAGAGCAAGCGCGGCAGGGTTGTCACCAAGAAGCAGCATGCCAAGGGCAAGGCCCTGTTTCAGAAGTACGCCCAGCGATGGCTCGATGCTGTCATGAAAGCTCGAAAGGAGCTGGGCATCAAGGGCTTCTGCGCGATTGGCGGCAAGAACGCCCAAGGGAAGGCTCTTCATGCCAAGGCCAAGGCACTCTATGCCGAGGCGTAAATGCTGAGGAGAGATCTGCTTTCGTGGTAGTTCATGGAGCATAGAGTCCTCACAAAGGTTTAGCCAAGCATGTACCTAGACCCTCCAATTACTTTCTGTTTAGGCCCAAGTACCTACTATCAGGGACCATATAGGCCCAATCAAGAGTGCTGGGAGGGTTCAGGTACAGTTGGGTCTGGGGTTGACACTGCGCAGCTTTTCTCAGAGCTTGCCTGCGTCAGAAAAGAAGGGACACACTGGTGCATGTGCCCAAAGCCTGCCTCAAGGATACTATTATTATTACTATTACTATTACTATTACTATTACTATTATTATTACTATTATTATTACTATTACTATTACTATTATTATTAGTCTCCATGCTACTTAGTTGGGGCTGCGGGAGTGGGTTAAGCTACAGGGATCATATAACCCTAGAGGGACTACTGTAGGAATCCACTTGTACATTCCCCTAGTCACCAAACAGCCGTAGAGCACGAACTTAAGCAAAATCATTCATCACATGTGAGAAGTTCCTGAGACCCCAGAAGGAAAGTCTAATGATTGCCAGCTTCAGTCCCAGTCTAGTTGCTGCTCACTATCAACGTTAAATCCTAAACCCTAAACCCTAAAACCTAAACCCGAAATCCTAAACCCTAAATCCGAAACCCTAAACCCTAAATCCTAAACCCTGAATCCCAAAACCCTAAATCCTAAACCCTAAACCACTAAGCAGCTGCCATCGGCCAAGAGCCATCCTTCCTTCATGGAGGTGCTACTTGGAGGGTCAGGCGAACTTAGTAAGTAGGTTATGATAAGAGATAAGGGCTTAGGGTTTAGGGATTACAGTTTAGGGTTTATGGGGATAATCTTGGGTTTAGGGGTTAGGGTTTACAGTTTAGGGTTTATGGTTAATAACCTTTATAAGCCATTGGATAACCCTAATTATTCCCACTATTAACCGACTTATTGAGTCCCTATGACCCTCCAAGTACCATCAAAGAATTTTACGTAGACCCTCCGTCTACCCGCTATATACCCTCAATACCCACCATTTCAAACCATATACCCCTATCTTAGGGTACAAGGGGTGATTCCTGTACTACGTTTGCATGCCGTGTATCGTAGTTTCCCTAAATCGGACGGGGCGGGGACCCCAACATGTCCCACAGAATGCAAGAATCCTTATATTGTTATAGGGACCTCCCAAAAATACACCTAGATTTTGCGAAATAAAGCTCCCACAAGCCACTTTATAACCCCAGTTTCCATGTCATTTGCCGTGTTCTTCTCCATTTGATTCTTGAGGTAATAACCCCGATATCCCTATATCTCCGTAAAGGGAACCGCAAATTTTTGGGGTAATAACCCCAAAACCCTAAACCCTGCTTAGGTCTCATCGCTTGAGAAGTCCACCTGCTGGGAAGAGGCCTCCAGGGGAAGTTCCATGGGACCAGGAAAATAGCTTTGGCGAGTTGAGTTTACGGTTTGGGGTTTAATGTAGACCCGTGACTTGAACATAGAGTGCGCGACAGAATCTAGGCAAGGAGCCTTTGACCGGCAGCCCACTAGAACAACCCCAACCGTGGGAAGCATGCCCTGATTCCTCGAACCTGAAGCATATATAGTCCCCCTTAAGTAAATAGAATATACCCCATATTCTATCTACTTCGGGAGGACTATAATCCCTCAACCTTGAACCCCAATCCCCCTGAGAAAGCCAAACCCGCTTAAGGGCTTCGTGTTTAGGATGCTTCAGTGCAAATCCAAAATAAGGGGACCCCAATATAGACCCCCAAGTACTACAAGCCTTGTGATAGGGACTCCCAAAAAGGGACACCTAATTTTGGGACACCCCCCCACCCCACCCGCCGCCCCCCGCAAATCCAAGCCCCATATTTTTGGGGCAGGTCATGAGATCAATGGTCGCCATGGCCTGGGAGTCCCTCGAGAGCGATGCAGGGATCTTAGTCAGGGCTCCGGGCTGACGGTTTAGGGTGTTGGAGGTAGGAGTTACGTTTACCCTGGGGTTCCATGTCTGTAGAGAATGCCTACATTGGGCCCCAATGTCTATAAATAGTACCTACACTGGGTTATCTGGAGCCGGAGGCTTAGGCCTCAGTCCACAAAAGCGACGCGGAATGCCGATCAAGTCTGCAACAGCAAGCTTGTTAAAGCATTTACAGGCCACGGCCTCTTCCATTGTAAAAGAGCGAGTCGCATGCACGCCTCAGCTATGAATTTGCATGAGCACCATCCAGGCGGCACATCCGGACGAATAGGGATCAGTACATCTGGATGCAAGTTGGGCAGTGCAGAATGAGAGCATCTAGCTGGAGTGACAAGCTATTGCAGCGCAGCACATAGATACTTCAGTGGTAAGGTGACTTTGTGAAGTTTTTCGGCGTCTTGTGTATGTGGGTACATGCGGGCCTCACTAGACCTAACTGAGACGGCTAGGAGGATAGTGGTATTTCCCCAAAAAGGGGTACCCCAATATAGACCCCTATATATTGTAATCGTTATTATGGGGACCCCCAAAATGGTACCCCTAATTGTGGAAACCCCCAAGTAGATCCCATTTGGGGCTCCAAGACACCGCTCGAAAGCAGCCTAGGATACCACATTGGAGGCTCTACTTTTCGGATTCTCCGAGGCCCCTACACCCCAATATATCCCCTATATAATCTGTATATAAACCCTAAATAATCCGTATAATCTTTATATAAACCCTAAACCCTAAAATTCGAAGCGGTTATACCTAAAACCCACAGCTTGGGAAATCTGCACTCCGACCTTGCATGAGGTGCTGACGCAGATTGCAGCGGTGGGCTCCTGCAGCAGGCAATCTGCGGCAAGAGCTTTAAAGCATACCCCTAACCCTAGGGATCCATGTATGTAAATAATACCTACATTGGGCCCCAAAGTCTGTAAATATTTTCTACATTGGGCTATTTGGATCCCTAGGGTAATGCTTTTGGGTTTAGGGATGTAAGGTGTAGGATTTTAGGGTAGAGAGATGTAGTTTTGAGAGTGTAGGGTTCAAGGTTCAGGGGTTAGAGTTTAAGGTTTAGGCCCCCAAGCAGAGCGTTGGACCTGAACAGTGTCTCCTTCGCCACTACTGTCTGAAAGTTCTGAGAAAGAGAGTCCACAGGGACCCCAACGCTGGCGCATTCCTATTTCATGACTGCAATCCATATGATTCCCCGCTCCTCCACGCGGTTTACGGTTTAGGGAACCCTCAACAATGCCTTACCCCAGGGATCCAAGTATTTAAAAATCATACACTTACCCAAAACCCACGCCAGACTTACTATGACCCCAAAACCAAGTACCTGAAATATTGAACCCTAAACCCTAAACCCCAAAGGACCTTTTGGGTTTTTTGTGATAGGGGGATGGCTAGGAATGACTTCTTGGTTGGACTTCCCGGCTGAAGATGATGTTAAGGCTCATCCTGGTGTGGAGGAGGAAATCAGTGAGTTGAATCCCCAGAATGGTTGCACGTTTTGGGGTTCTAGGGCAGATTGTTGGGTTTAGGGTTTAGGGCTCCGGGTTATAGGATTTAGGGTTCGAGGCTCCAGGTTAAAGTTTGCGATTCTGGAGAGAGTAGGTGGTTCAAGATGAGTAGTATTTTATTTGGGGATATGAGGAATATAATTTAATCTTACTAGGTCTAACCACCAAAAAAGCACTACTCACTTGTCAGTCTAGGCTCCAAGGTTCATGTGTCTTGTGACTATATCACGCATGTATACATATGAGCTAGAATCTAAACTTCTGCAAGGTGGTTCTACATAGGGGAGATTAATGGGAGTATTTAGCGAGATGCCAGAAGTTTAGACTGTAGCTCAGAAAACAGTATAACTAATGCCCTAGTTGACCCCGCCTGTTTTCTATGATTCATAAGTACTCCGCATTTCCCTTCTGTATGATGCGAAGCTACCCCGCAAATATTCCTATTGACGTCCTGTCTTGGTCGGATTGGAGGCAGTGGCAAATGGGCTTGAGTCTGCTGGATGACCTGGGTGCGGCACTTCGGAAAGCTTCATGTATGGTGTCTCTGGGATTTATGGTTCCAGGGTGTTGCATTTCGACGTTGAGGGTTCGGCGCTTTGATTCAACTAGGGTGTAGGGCTTCGGGTTTGGGATGCAGAGGGCCTAAACGATTACATCCAAGATGGGGTTTGCTGTGAGGGTGAGGGTCGTTCAATCCAACAGCTTCCTGCTAAGTCCTTGACAGCCCATAGGGTCCCTGTATCTGATAATCATGTACTTACCCCAAGCCCGTGCTAGCGTTGTGCAAATACCAAGTACAAAATTGTTAAGTACATGGACCCTGTGGGCCTAAACCTTAAATCTGGGTTGTGAAGCTCACCAGACTGGAGAAACGGAGCATGCTGGCTTTAATTTCAAAGAAACTGGCAGCTGGAACAACAGGCGGTTGATACCCTAAACCCCGAGCCATAAACCTTAATCTTAAACCCTAAACCACTGTTGATCATGATAAACGGAGCATCCCTACATCTCAGCCATGGCCGTTTCAGAAGAGCCCTCGCTCGGCAAGTTTGGTGGCATTCGGTAGGTTCCCAAAATAGGGAAACCCTAGTATAGACCCCCTTCATCAAAACGACCATCCCAAAAAAGGTACCCCTAATTTTGATTCGACTGCAAGTCCGAGAGTGAAAATGGGATTTGCCCTAAATTAGGGGTACCTTCCAAGGGGTATGGGATTATACAGAGATTATTTAGGGTTTAGGGTTTAGGGATTAGGACTTAAGGTTTTTACCCCAACAATGGAAATCAAAGGTTCTCAAACGGGGTCCACTCAAGCCTTCCTGGTTCTTAGTAGGGAATATGGGAATATTTCTAGACAGGGAGTTTACAAAGATTTTTATTCCCTTATGCTCTACTAAGAACCGGTAAGAAGCCTTTGCTTGACGTTGTGTTGGTTGCTTAGAGGGTCAGGGGGACTTAGTAAGTGGGTTAATAACCGCTACACACCATGTAATAACTCCAATTATCCAAAGTATTAACCTACTTACTAAGTCCCCCTGACCCTCCAAGTGTAGGCTTCCGTTCAAAAGCTTAGCTGTGCGGTTCGCTTCTGAGGATGCAGCTAGGCAGCCTGTCACACGTGGAAGAGCAGCAGAACCCAGAAAGTCCACATATACAACCATTAGGGAATTGGGACCCATAATTCCTTCTATAGTATGGCATTTTGGGGTCTAATTCCCTAATGGTTGTATATGTGGACCCTCTGGGGAAGTGGGTCTTCCTTAGCCACCGCTTCGTTGCTGGACCCTCAACCCTAAACCCTAAACCCTAAACCTTAAACCCTAAACCCTAAACCCTCATCAAAGGGTGGTAACACTCGCGCAGTGTTCGGAGTGTCTGGGTGACTTCGCCATCTTGCAAGCCCCAGCAAGTCCTGCATATGTACTATAGTCTAAACTCCTTAAAGGGGGGTTCAAAAGGGTCCTTAAAGGGGTTCTATAGGGTCCTTAAAGGGGTTATACAGGGGATAATATAGGGTTTAGGGTTTAGGGATTATAGTCTAAACTCCTTAATGGGG